CGAAACGGACACAGAGGTGTAAGGAGCGTAAAAGCATGAGAAACGTTGACCTGAGCGAATTGAATGAAAATTGTTAGTGAATGAGCAGTCAAAAATATACAACCTCAATTACGAGTCGCTTAATGGGAGAAATGCTCTTTAGGAAAGTTTGCCTCTTTTGAGCGGAGACTGTCATGTTCCAGTGAACCTTTTGAAAACTTGTCGTTATAATTTCGGATAGACTAAGATTGGTCTGTCCTTATAAAGGACAACATGCAGAGGGCAATTGGCATGAAGTGCTAAAAAATGCATTTATCTCACTCTTGGTGGATGGATCTCTTATATATCTCAGACACTTAATTGTTTTCCGAATGCATTCCTCAATGAAGAACGACTAAAACTGCAATAAATCGTTGACTATCCGTTGGGAACACATTGAATATTCATTCGCTATTAGTGAAAGCGTTTGCGAGACGAGTGGAGAACGGGAAGGGCGGGCGATATAACGCTCAGAAAATGCATAATTCAGTCAGTTTTTAGTTAAGGTTGGAAACTAGTAGCAATGCTGAGCAAACATCATGCAAGTATGTTACATAATGTCATGCATGTTTACATTTGTCAAATTGCTTTATTTGCTGTTGGCAACAATCGATTTTGCGTGAACAAACCCGTAACGCGCATGCGATAATAATGTGACGTATCGGTCGTGTCACGTGTTGATGTTGAATCGATTAAATATCGAATGTTTTGAGCAAATGATATCAGTGAATGAGAAGTAATAAAACACCACCGTCCTTGCATACAAATCGCTCATTGAATAATCACAAATGAGCATCGATGCTTTTCATTTTTTATATGGAGTTTGGACAGAAAACGGATATTCCTTATTGGTCATTTGAGAACCAACCGTAATAACGCAAACAAAGTAGTGTTGTTTCAGTTAGGAACGCTCGTGAAATATTATGGTGATTATGAAGGAATGGTACTTTGTAGAGTAATATTGTATGTAGAAAGTGCATGAGACACTTGAGCTTTATGCGAGGAAACGTAAAAAAAGAGAAAATCGAAATGCTGCAGACATTACTGATTCTAATAACTTTCTCAAAACATATGTCCTGTTCGTTTTTTTAGCGCATTCTCCGAAACTATTTGACGGCTGTTTCTAGATAATTGACTAAAGAAGTGATATTCATGAATTAAAGTAGAATTAATAATATTTAACATAATNAATGGCTCAAATTAACAGTTTGCAATAAAGTACATTTTGAAAACGGCTGGATCTATTCGAATTTTTATTCCAATATCAGATGTAAGACTGAAGTAAGTGAATAATTCTAAAACAGCACTTTTAAGCTTGAGGCGAAAGGCAATTGAATGAAACAAAAGACTTTCTCGCAAAGAAAGCGAACCCATTCTAACATTAAATAATAATGAAAATCTTTCGATTAGGATTAAATGAGTCAATGTTAAGATTTTTTGCGTTAACTGGACAGCATTCATTACGGCACATTTCGTACCATAATTGAATTTCGAGTTGAATGAAAAAACGCAAACGTACTTGTTTTTAAACGAAATCAAAGAGGCGTTTGAGATATGTTGAACCATAAAAGATTGCAATTTATGCGAGAGGATTCTTTAGAAACCATTCATTCGTTTCTTTGTGTTGATTTCTAACAGCAAAAACTCTAACGTGATGCTTATGAATACTATTGAAATGATACGTCGTTGATACCCGTACTGAAAACAAAAACAATTTGATTATTCGGTGCGAATAACTTAAAATCCGACGATGATGAAAGGCACGCAGTTATTTAAATAATAATCGAACGAAAGATGCACAGTCGCGTAATTATCATGAAAGACTTTAAGTTTCAATTCACGATTCATATTTCATCAATATCACTTTCAAACATTACGCATTTTCATCTTCAGATGGTATTTTTATGATTATAGATCGTTGTGAAGAATACAACAATCAATGCTCTTTTGTCAGAATATGACCCCAACTACTAGAGGAGTACGAAGTTGTTCACCTAAAAGCCCTTCAGCGAATAATCAAACTGAACATATTCGTCTGTGAATGACCAACAACACTGAAAGCTGCCGCATGTTTTCTCATTAATATTGTTGAACTTTCATGCATTCTGATTTGATTCGGCTTGTAACATTCCGATAGATTATACACATAGGATTTCACTATTGATAGCCTCATTGCTAATAGAGATGACTGTAATATTGAAAATTCAAGTCCATGTTCACGCAGTAACCCATTCACATAATCAACAAATAATCTGCCAACGAAATAATAAAGAAACGGAGAAATAGTAAAATCTAACAAAAGCGACAAACGTATGCATAAAAGATCCACACACACACACACATTCATAAACATTTATACACAACTGTTCTATTGCTTATTATAAACTTGTTCGAGCTAAATCGATGAATGAACCGATTGTAATGATATTGAAGAGAGTGGAAGGAGAAATGACCTGAATGTCGTTTGTCGATTCGAATGGAAATTATTTGGATTTGCTACTGAGTGTTCACGTTGATCAATTATAGAATTTTTAAAAACATTGATTCAGTGAAAAGTTTTCTGTATTACTAGAAAAGAATTGATGTCGAATCGCGGCGATGGACTAAGAACAGAAAGTTTTATAGATGTGAATGAATAATTCATAATAAAAGAGGAAGGATTCAAAGTAATCGATAGTTCTCGAGCGGAAAGGGGATAAAACGATGGATTATTGGTGTTACCATAGCAAATGAACGAATGATCTTATGAGGGATGTATGACTGGACTCCAATCCGAGTATCAATAGATGAATGCATATTAAAAGATCAATGAAAGTCACGACATGAAGATGGATGGAATCAGAGTTTTAGTTAATGTATAATAAGAGCAGAAATGTGAAGGAGGAGCTGCTGATGCTGCTGTTGTTTCGCTTGTTCAATAGTCTAGTAGTGGCTTTATTGCATTCGAAAAGAACGTTAAACTGGCCTAGAGGTAAATTGTGCATCGATCTCACCAATGCGTTCGTTCATCTATGCACTCATCCAAATCCATAGCACATTCATCCATCCATCCACCTTACCAACGACCGTTCTCATTTAAAAGCAGACAAGCACGTGCGTTTTACGTTTCGAGCATCGTCTTTTCTCGATCGTAATTACCACATTCAACAAAAATTATTCATCTCTTCTCAATCACGAAAATTAATGTATCGCTTACAGTTAGCAAGCAATTGTTCTCCTTCTCGATTCCCTCATCAAAAAAATTGTTTTTGTATTAGAATCGGTTAAATCGAATTCATTATTGTTTCCATCTGATGCTAACTTTGAAATGCTCACACACACATACTGTACCTATTCGACTGGAAAAAATTTCAAAGAATTTCACTCACTTTGTGAGACATTTTTTACGCATCGTTCGCAGCTGGAGTGAAAACCTTAGATGATCACAATTTTTTAAGCATGTGCACACATATTCGAGCAATTGGATTATTAATAGTTTGACACAGCGTTTGCTGAATGAATTCAGGCACTGTCGTTGTAGAACCCCTACCTTAAGCAGGTTTCGAAGTAAGAATTTCGGAAACCACTCAATGATGTTTTTGGGCATCGCAACATCACACCAAGAAATAGTGCAATGGGACCAGTGTTGCGGCAAACAACGAAACGCTCCTTCAATGCTGACGCTACAATTTGGTTGAATTTCGGGACCGATGCAATGAACAGCTTTAATATGCACCCATTGAGTGATTCGTTAGTGGTCTAGAAAACCAATTTATCATGAAAGATCAATTGAGGTGATCTATTTGATGGCATCGTATTTATTTTTTGGGGTGCAGCGTAGGTCAAGTGAATGGGAGCAGGTAATTGCATAAGATGGATGTCATTTGAGCAATCGCCAGTTTCCTACCTTCGAACAATTGCTTGCATAGGACAGCTCCTTTTCATTCTATTCATGGCTCTATATCACTTCAGTGCCTTTATGTATGAATAAAACAACGATGAAGAAGATGTTTTTTAGATTAATGAAGAAGATCTTCTTCAAGGTTTTGAGTGTTATTTGTGAGACAGAGCACCGGTAACAGTTGCTAATGGGCATATCTATCGTACGTCGTCACTACGTGCTACACGCCGTTTTTCTTCGATGTCATCATCATTTCCTTCGATGAACGAGCACAATCATTCACTCTACTACACGTATCATTATACAGCTTTTTCATATCACTGCTCAACAACATAAATATTATCATCCAATTCGATAATTTATGGGTTCTCGGCTAGCTGTAAATCTTATAACGGTGAGCATCGATCACTTCAAGATATTGCAAATGCATCATTCATTGTTCGAAGCGTGCTCAACAAGGTGGCACTGAAATGGGTGGGATGATGAGTCGATCTAAAAGTGAAGACAAATCCGATTAGATCAATCGGTGAATGAAGATCGAAGAAGGCGGATTTGAAACGAAACATCATCTCACCTGAACAATGCTATTACTGCCGTGTTGTTATTGAAGTTTACTGTATTGTAACAATAAGCTTCATGAACGCAAGCAAATTCAAACCTTTATTATCCCATATAACATTTCAAAACAACCAATTCACTAACAATAAGTGAATTTCATCCGTGTATCAGTTCTTATGATGTAATTCGTTGCCGATGTACATATGCTTCATAATTTTTGATAAAGTTGCTCACTTCTTTAGTCGGTTCGCAACGCTGAGCATCGATGAAAAAGAGTAGAAGAAGACGGTGTATGAAGAGATATTGCTGAAATACTTATCAATACGACTCATTCTCGACACTGATAAGCATTACACTCGTCTATGTATGCTATAGATTACAGATCCATGGTCTGTTTGTATCGCTACAGCCGTGAGCATCAGCTACTAAGCATACTTTCTTATCGTTCAAGTGGCGCTGATAACCGACGATAAAAAAGCTTCTTGAGAACAAGCGACGTGCAAGTTTATCACTGTGTCTATTGAACGAGAAAAAAGTGTTATTTATGCTATTATTATTATTTACGATGGGAACCAAAGAATGAATAGTAGTTTTCTCAGTAATTAATATTAAATAAAATAGATAGCCTCTCTGTGGAAATCATTGGGCTGTAGCCCAAAACCTGTGTGCTCGCCGAAGCAATAATCCAAGTTGTAATTTCATTAAAACAGATGAATCCAAACGCTATTAACGTTAGCTGCGCGGAAAGAAGAATGTCAAGGAAGAGAGAATGTGATATTAGTGATATTGGTGATAACACAGAGGCATAAATCGTAATGCGTTGGATTTGCTGATTAAATGTAATAGATAACGCACCGAAATGAGATTTCAGAGGAGCCAAGAGGATGATATAAAGGCAGTTGAACAAAGATAGTAAATCAACATTTCAAAACAGTCAACCGTTATTGACTAATAATTTGGCACTGGTATTATACTTGAAAATGTTCTGAATGGTGCAATGAGTCGAGGGTAATGAAGCGGTTGTGAGGCTGAACCTGGATGGTTTGCACGAGACCAGCTCGCTGAGATCTGAGTTCTTTGATTATATTGAACATATTCGAACAGTCCTTTTGAAATGTGAGCAGTTCAAGGATATATTCAACTGTTATAAGCACACCACTACGTCCAATGCCTGCTGAACAATGGACAACGATCGGTTGCACGCTCATTCGCACCTTCAACTTAATTAACATTAGGATCACACTGTTCTCAGTGAGTTCATCGATAAGTCTATGTCAAAATTTACGAGTATGCAAGAGACAGTGAGCAAATAATCATCCTAATATCATCATCTTTCCGAATTTTTCAATTCATTCTTATTTCCTATAGCAATGAGCGGCTTACGCCGGATTTTTATATAGAAGGATGGTTTTGGCTTATGGGGCGTCTTTTTTACCGAAATATTTCACTAGTTAAGTGGTAATAAATGAATAATGATAAATGAATTATTCAAATTTGAGTTAATTTTAATGCAGTGAATAATTGCACTCACTTTCCAATTACCCATTCATGGTATGCGAACGAATGNAAAACATTAAAAAAAACATAGAAATTGCTCCAAAGCTGTCAAACTTTCAAATTCGCTTATATCTACACATTTCCATTTTTTTCCAACGGTTTTTTTGTCTGGTTTAGGGGAGGGGGGATGATGGACGATCTATTTGGCATGGATTTATTGCACCACCCCATTTATTTCACCTGCTGCATGACGAGGCGATTTCTTTAGTTGCTTAAGATCAACCCTGCTTTATTCAATTAATAACATGAACTTTATGAGAAGCATACGGTATGAAGAAGTCGCAATAATGTTCGATCGGTTCTGGGAACACCATGATCAGGCCAATTGACCCATTGATAATGTTTAACGGAAACAGTGTCAGATCCGTTACAAATTATTGAAAGTTCTCGACATAGAATTGAATTGTTTGAATCATCTACATATGAGCACTGCAAAAGAAACGGGAAACATCGAAGTGCCGATACTTGAATGCAAAAGTGGCCACTAATCACTTACTTGTCATTTTTCGGGCACTTTTAGGCCTCGATTATTTGGAAAACAAATGCAACAAGGATATCTTTGATCGACAGTTCGTTCACGAGTAGTTTCAAGTTTGCATTGAAGGAGATTGCCTGATGGAAGCAATCATCAAAAACAAACCGAATCACAGCGGATGGTGAAAGGGCCGAATTGGACTGTTGACTCACACATTTCGGGAAAATATCGACAGCACTTCTCTCGGCCTTTCTCCTTGAATTTACTTAACATTATGATGAATTCGACATGCTCTTGCAGTACCATTAACCAAAAATCGCTTGCGCTTGCTTCTGTAGGACCCTGGAAATTGGTTTAGATCACGATATCACCAGTAGTCATCCTAGTTATCTGTCTTGCTAAGCTTCTCACAGACAACATCACTTCAGCGTTACTCGTTTTTCATTACAGAACTATCGCCTTAACCTGAGTGCAGATGAAACGGTGCTTCTTGAATGGTGTGTCAATATAGTTCGCATGGATGTAATCGTTCATTTTTGGCGGAACTTTTAGTATTACTCGAGATCGATCGAGACAATAAACATTACCATATCGATTACGACCTGAATTCACTCACAAAGCCAGTGCTGTGCTTGATTCTAATTTTGAATTCGGTGAAATGTTCTCATTTCAATGAAATTATGTTCCATGAATGGAATATGAGATAATATAGACGTTCAAATTCTTTCTGAATAAACTGTTCGTAACTAATATCCTTAAACATAAGTTCTTTCCGAGGAATAGGTCAAGCCAAACCGGTATTAGCGTTCTTGAAGTACTCCTGACAATCGCTTATGCGCGGTATAACCTCATTGTGCAGTAATCGAAATTCCTTACGGAGACCATTGATATCTTTTTGCAATGTTTTTTCTACCCACATTGCAATCTGAAAGTGTTTCGTTTTGACAACAATTCANTCAGTTTATTTATTCACTTGTCAGACCATCAGAAATCTTTGCTGAAATCATTTCTTCGATGAAAGCATTCATCACAGCAACTCTTGTATTCGTCAATTTTGAATGGATGAACATATATAATTCAATGAATTATTCGCGAAATAATCGCAAATTCAAGCCTAAAGGTCATTTGCTTGCAAAATACTGATTGTTGCGACTTTAATCTAGTGTATTTAAGAAAATCGTTCAAATTAAATTCCTCACCAGTGCTTTCAATGTTTTTCTCCCAATCAGTCTTTCTTCATTACATTCATTACATTCACACAGCGAATCATGCTCTACTTCTCCACTACTAACACTGAGTTCAGTTGAATCTCTAAGCGAAATCGATCTTTAGAACGAGTCAATTGGTTATAACTTCGTACACTTCCAGTTTCCAGTCACATGATGATAGCATTATGATTGGTTCAGTTATTAGATCGATTATTATAATATCATTTTCTTGATTGCTTTTATGATTATTTTATGATTAATTCGATTGCATCGAATTATCTGTGCTATTGTTGAGCGGGTTTCGACAGAAATTCTTTTACTTTTTCCTGTCGGATCCATATTTATGTCCTGAGCAATTTTCTTGAATGAGGTAAGAATCACAAATAGCGATGTGTACGAATGCAGTAGAATGCATGACTCACATGCAATTGTTTTGAATACGTTTGTCAGGCTGCTTGAGACTGTCGCTATTTGAAATATCTTCACTGTTTGTATTCGCGTTTTCTGATGAGGGTGAATCACTTTCGTCAGCTTTCAGTGCATTCTCTTCGTTGTTATTCCTTACATCTTTATGACGATGCACTTGTTTGTAGGGACGTTTCTGTCACAAGAAGAAAATGATATTTATTCAGCAAAAGCAAACTGATTCTCGAAAAATGAAATCAGATTTAACCACATTGCATACGAAAATGATGAACAGGTCCCCGAGAGTGCAGCGTTCTGCAATATTCATCCAATCAGCCAGTGGCATCGATAAGTTCAATGCCCTCCACTCGCGCCATTTAAAAAAATCCTTGAAAAATCACCACACTCACGTTCGCTTTGCACATATTCCACCCAGCCGGCCCAGCCGCTCAACTGCTCAAATGAACACTAAGAATGAAGAAGCATAACAAGTTTTCAATTCGTTCAATTTTCGAAATGCAAAATCCCTCACGTTTCGTGTTAATTACATTTCGTGTTTGAAATACTGATTTATATTTTATAGTGATTACGTTGACGTTACCAATTCTTGCATTCTTTATCGATTCGAATTCTTAGCAATTTTGCTTTCAATTATCAATATGCAAAAATTGTATCTGTTTATCAAACTATAAAATAAATTTGTAAAGAAGTCAATTTGTTATTCATTTATATTATCATTTGCCATTAAACATCAATATCAGCACTATAAAAAGAAACTCGTATGCTCAAGAAACCGATAAATCATAAAATACGCCTGAGTCAACTCGGCGTTCTAGGTCCTGACTCTCAAATCAAGCCGCTTCAAGCTTACTGTTAAGGCTTATCCATAGAGTG